TGCGTTCCAGTGTGGGAGGAGCTTCACTGGTGATGGGAGGAGCTTCACTGGTGATGGGAGGAGTTTCACGGATGATGTGTTTGCTGTGGGAGGAGCTTCACTGATGATGGGAGGAGCTTCACTGTTGATGAATTCCAGAGTGGGAGGAGTTTCACGGATGATGTGTTTGCTGTGGGAGGAGCTTCACTGATGATGGGAGGAGCTTCACTGTTGATGAATTCCAGAGTGGGAGGAGCTTCACTGATGATGGGAGGAGCTTCACTGATGATGAATTCCAGAGTGGGAGAAGTTTCACTGATTAATTGCAATGTGGGAGGAGCTGATCTGCCAAAATCAAAAATATATCTCTGAGTTACTGAGTTCATTTTTATACTAATGGATAACAGAATATAAATAATGTAGTGGTAATTCTTCCAGATAAAAATAATGGTAAGAAAAACAGTTGAAAGCATAAAAATATAAATACATGTAGATACCTATAAGCAACAAATCCCCTCTGTCTGTTGACACCAATGAAACGAGCTTAAAGTGGCCATTTACAGGAGATCTGAAGACATCAGCTTAATACATGAGGTGAAAGCAGAACTATTGTCATGAAATACAGAGTGTTTTCAGCAGCTGTTAATATTGATGAGCCTCAATCAACACTCATTCAACAAGACATTCAGGATCATCAGCTTGTGTTTGTGCACATTCAGAATCAGTCTGAATGAACAATATAATGGCTTTAATGGGAAGACTGATTTTAAGTGAACAACTCACACACTTAAATATAACCACTTTGTTACATCCAAAAAAAAAGGCATGAAACTGTGATCTGTGGGAGTTTTAATGAGTAATCAGTTTGAAATCTAAAGTGAATCTCTGTCTGTGACCTATTTTTACAAAGCTTCGATGTCTGATGATCAGAAAACATAAAGTTACCAATTAAAAAGAATAGTTGAACAGCACTGTCAGGGCCTCCCTGCTCAGCCGAAAACCATTAAAAACCTGTCCAGCGCTGCTGCCACATTCAGCTTTATCCTGCAGTACAGGGCTCTGCTCTGATTTA